ATTCTATGATTCTATGATTCAAGAGGCAGTCATATCTTTCGTGCCATTTTTCCTTATTCTTTCCTTATCCTTGCCTTATTTCTTAAATTTTCCTCCAGAGGGCGGTAACCACATGGATGTAGTATGAGAAAAAACTGTTGGGGAGGAGTGTGTTAAAGGGAAAGGTATATTGCTTCATAGCCTGGTGCTAGGAACGACCCATGGAGCTTACTACGGCAGGGGGTGTTGCATGAACACACCATATTGGTTTTAGGAATCCTGAACTCCGTAGAGCTAGAAGGGTGTTTCCTTGTTTCCACTTCTGTTTTTTATTGGGACTGTCATTTGCCACTTACTCATTTCCTTCACCTCTGAGCATCTGTTGGCTGAGATGGGGCAGCAAAGCAAGAGGCTTCTGCTGAAGGATTTCCAGAGCAAAATAAAAAGAAGCCCTGTCTCTGTGGATCAAGTGACAGATACTTGAAAGAAAAAAGTGACAGATCTTCTGAGTGAGCAAACATATTTGTGTTAAGAGCTGCTGAACAAATTGGGCTCACAGGAATGAGCAATCTCAGTCTGTAGTATTGAATCACATGGGGTAAGGTTTTCCACCCACAAAATAGGTTTCAAAACGCCCCCCCTGCACCAATTTATCCTAATTTTAATGGCTATCAAAGACCAGTTATTACTGTAACTGTTAAATGAAAATGTGGTTGGCACCATGGTGTTACTCTGCCTTCAGAAGCAGACGTTTCTTTCAAAGGCTACGCAGCATCAGCCTACCGTGAGCAAACCACCTCGCTGTACAAGCGGGTAGACGGAGAGATGGGAGTTGGTGATGCAAAGCTGCAGGGGAAGGCACGAGCAGAGCTGGGAAGAGGGCTGATGTAGCAGGCATGCTGTGCTTCCTGGCCTCCCAAGGAAACAGTGTTCCCTTCCAAACTAGATCAGGATGACACAGCCACACTAAGACACGGGGATAAATGCTATAAAGGTTTTTGTATAATGGGAACGTTTATAGAAAGCAAACAAAATAAACCCTGGTTGCATCTCCATGGGTAGCCTATCCCCCTAACACCTTTGTGACTGAGCTGAATCCCATCCCAGAAGAGAAATGAAAGTCTGGATGTGGCAGCTCCCCTCAGCAGCTTCACGTGGCTGCGTTGGGGCAGTTTTGCACCCATTTTAGTACAGCACTTTGCTCAGTAATGCTTTATTGCCATGCAAAGTAGATTTGTGAGCCTGATTCAAGAGTGGCTTCTGGACCGCCTATCTCGAGGCGACAGGTTTAATGACTCTGATAATGGCAGTGAGCCTCCCACCACACAATGATTTTCTTGGATACTGCTTCTGGTCACTGAGAGACTCTAACCCTTTGGAGTTAGGGGGGCAGAAACTCCCTGGGACTTGGCCCTATACAGACGAGATAAAACATGCTAAGGAAAAGTGTATTCTGTCCAAGTGACAGAGGCCTCCCTATTCATGCATATTTATCCAGCAGTGTGGTATCCTTAAAAAAACCCATACTCATTGGATATGAACTACCTCACCCTACTCTCCTGCAGTACTGCTTTGTGAAATATAAGCCCATTTACAATGGAAATGCATGACACTCGTACTTGAGTTCTTATTTCTTAATGCTGTGAGATACAATACAGTCTTAACGATATGCCGTGTCCTTTACTCCCTTGCATTCCATTCCAGGTAAGGTTGTCCAAAGCTTGTGGGATAGGAGTTAGTCCAAACTGCAGTGTCAAATGCCAGGCACTGTATTAAAAGCATAGGAAACCTCACTCCTCTGTATTCTCCACTTGCCATTAGGATTTAGGATCTTCCACACATGGTTGCAAAGCTTCTGAGGATCTCTGCAGCACGAGTTTGAGTTGTCCTGCAGAATGGTGTTTACCGAAGCCTTCACAGGATGAGATCCTGCCTTAGACCAGTGCTGGGCAGCTAGGAGACAGCATGCACAGTAGCTGCAGCAGAAGCTTGCTCTGCACTCACTGTGCCCTTCTGCTGCCCTGGGAAGATAGTCACTGGTCTTCCATTTCTTCCCTCCTAGCCCTCATGGATGCTGGTATTCCAGGGTGAAAATACACCTATACTTCTGCAGCTGTTTTTTATCACTGCCCAGCAAATGATTCTTTGGAGGAGGAGATATCTCCCAACTGCCCATTTTCTCTCTTCATCAGTAGTAGGCAACGACAGAGCTCAAGTGTTTCAATCTGCTTTGCTGTATTCTACCTCCCCACTTCTACCACTGTTCATACTGCACTGCTGGTTATATGTTCTCTGGCCCCTAAATATTGCACAGATCGTAGCAGGCAGATGTTGCAAATACGCCACTGTGGAACTGGCAACACTGCTTGAACAGCGACAGTGGTTCTTCAGTTTTCCCTCCTCTCTGCTGCACTGCTGAAAGTGATGCGTTAAAAATATCAAGTGTCTCATGAGAACACTGAGGTGTCTTTTTCCAGAAAATAAAGCCTTTAAGAAACAGATTCCAAATTAATTCAGCAGGCTAAAGAGAGAGGAAAAAAAAAAAAAAAGACAAAGGAGTTTTCCAAAGTGCTAGGAATTCTTCAAAAAGGGAAGAGGACAAAAATGGTTGTAAAGCCAAAGTTGCTATAAAATGAGTAAAGGTGAAAAATTTGTTGTAGCCTGTCATTGGGTTATTGACATTCTAACCCCTTAGCATTTAATAAATCCTTGAACAATTGTCACAATAAATCAATAAGGCAGGGAGAAGTAGCTCTCTAGCCAAATTAGGGCAATTTCAGCGGTTACAAGTTATCCTAATAAGTGTACAGAATTTATTCCTAAGGCTCACCGTGAATCTAGAAACATGAAATTTGTGAAACTTGGAGACAATCAGTCAATCCCTCATGGCTCTGAGCCACAGTGAAAGGTTTAATACTGTTTATTTACCAGACTTGGAGGGATAATTTCCAGATGAATTGGTACATCTGTACTGGTCTGGAAGCAGTGTGCATGAAGCACTGATACTTCATCACAGCCTGCTGCCCCTTCGCTTCCTCACAGTTTGGGAGGGAGTCTGGCTCAATCCCATTTGGAATCAGTATCGTAGGGTTCAATGGGGGTAGAGGTAAGGCAGCCTAAGAAAGACTAAAGGAATCAGATTGTGATTAATTTCTAAAAGGTATTTAAGGAGAGACCAAGAGACACAGAAACTGTCAATAAACCACAATGTAAAAAAAGTTTTATAGATTTTATATTTGGATATTAAAGCTTTACAGAGTCACGTGATTAAAAGATACAAGCTTTTGAGAAATACCTTTGGTATATAATTTTTGCTTCTGCATTTAGTCAGTCATGAGTTATCTACAGTAGGGCTATAATGCATAAAAAATAGCATGTTAATAAAATGGCAGGAGAGTTTTAAGACTTACATAAAAACTCCATGCTGCCTGTGTGTGTTTGATGTGCATCCTGTCATATTTCACCCATGTAGCTTGTTTCAACCATATTTCATAATTCTTTGGTAGCAAATAAAGTAGTATACAAAAAAGGAAAGTACATGGATAATTCATTAATATTTCAGTTGGAGAAAAATGGCTCATTTTATTAAAAAAGGAAAACCTCAATTTATTATGAAATAGTATTTATTTACAGATATTTTACATTTTTAGAAAATAATACAGTTGTACTTTAAAATGCTTCATTTATTTTTATTACTTATCTGCTTGTACAAAAGAAGCAAAGACACTGTCTTCCTGTTCTAGCAGAACCTCAGGTTTGTCATATTCCAAAATAACCCCTCTCTTCATTACAATAACCAAATCTGCATTGAGGATCGTGTGCACGCGGTGCTGAAAAACAAATAAACAAAATGCTAGTTCAGTGTATCTATCACATATATTCTAGGATAAGACAGACTTCCAGAAATTAATTTTTCTATCAAGTTCAATTTGGAATAAGGCTACTTTACATACTTTTCATCCTAATTTACAATTTACATTTGATTGATTTATTTTATTAAGAGGGAACCTCCCTGGTTTTGACACAGTAAGTACTGAAAATAATTCAGCTTTTCTGCAATACCATTATCTTTCCTGAGCATCCCTGTCATGTATCAGTCATCACATGGTCCCACATATTGACAGACATCCTGCTCCCGGTGTGTATCAGGGGTTCACAGATTCATTATTAGTTTTGATGCCTTCCAGAAGCTGCTCTCATACTTTCTGGCCTGCCTTAGTGCATTTTCACATGTAACATGCCAGAACTTCGGATCTTTTCTGTTTTCTTGATTTGGCTATGAATTCAACTTTTACAAGAATGCCTTCTTGTTTCCCATAGTGTTTGTTTAGCCATACCAGCTCCTTTCTACCCGTACTCAGGCCTTTCCTAATAAATAGCATCCATCGGTCTGGGATATTTGAATAAAAGCCTTCAGTAATTTTCATGATCCTTTGTAGATTCAATTTTCTTTGCTGCCTCTTTTAGCTTTTTTTTCACCCCCATTTATTTTGGGGTTTTGTTTTTAGCAAGACTCCTCATTTTTTACAGAATTCTACTTTTTAAAGTTGAGTGTAACTTTATTGGATTTTTTGGGTCTGCATTACTCCTGCGGGGATATTTAATCTCAGAATACTGCAGTCCCTGCTACACAGTCACTCTTCACCCATAAGGTTCTTAATCAGCCTGGGCACCCTTAGTACCAAAACAACTCTCATATTTCTTTCTGTGGCTTCCTAGCCAGATGTTCCATGAAATAATCACTGATGCATCTACAAATCTCATCTCTGCTGCAGTCCTTTTGTGACATTTATCCAGTCCCCGGGCAGGGGGAGGGGACTGAAATAGCACATTCCAGTTGTACTTGTTGCCCTTGTTTGATCTCTTTTCAGCATAACCAGTCAGTGCTGCCATCCAGCTCAGATAACACAGATGATGTATAGACTCAATACTATACTATTCCTATTCTTCCTAAGCACAAATTAGGAATATATGGCTTTCCCTGAAAAGAAAACCCCAAAACAACAAAGCAAAACCCCTACCCCAAACTCCTCAACCCCCCTACATTATATTTCTATTGCAGTGTTTTGAATACAAACCCACCTGCTGTAAACCACTTGGAAGTGAAAGCATTCGCAGGTTATTCCAAAACAGTTTGAACTGTGCAGTTTGAAATTCACTAAAAGCAAAGACTAATACAACTTTCTCAGTGTATCCCCAAACAAACTTAAAAAGATAATAAACACAAAATGCAGTGCAACTCAGAATTTTCACACAGAGGTAGCAGGAAATTTCATCTTTATCATCCCTTCACTTTTTTTATAATGACACACTGAATGGATATTGTAAGATATATCAGGTTTTCTATTACACATTTGCTAGGTGAAAACAGATGCTGTACGATCCTGAGCATAGACTTCTCGACTTGTGTTTTATTTTTAAATGTTGAGGAGCACAATCACTTTTTTCTACCTCCCTGAAATGTGTGTATTTTTAGAAAACAGAGGACTGAAAGATTTGTATTGCTTCTGACATATCTGTTGAGTCAACTGCTTTCATTCAGGTCAAATCTCTTTCATAAACAACTTTTTTATAGATACTTGAGATCTTTGTATGATCATTTTAAGAATACGCAAACTTAAATTCAATCACTGTCAACACGGGTGGAATGTTTATTTTTAAAAGTTAGTAAGCCTCTCATTTATTTGTTTAAATTCTGAAGCATAATTGCTTAATTCAGTGGCAGAACTATTACACAATCTTACTTGTACTTAAATGATTACTGTAGCTTGATGAAATTTATTCTTAGATTTCATAGTAGTCAAAGTCATATCTTTTAAATTAGCCTAAAACAGGCAACAGAAAATAGATTGCAGACTTAGATTACATGCCTTTACAGGCAATCAGTCTTAAGCATCAAGCAACACATTTAAGAAGCTGGTTTTATGTATTTAAATAAGAAAGTCGTTAAAAATGGAGAAGAAAGCTTACAACCCTGCGTTAAAAAAAAGATTAATGGCCAAATGAACACCTTTCTTAACACTGACAAGAACTGACTAATGTGGCACTTGTGATTCTTGTTTGCACTAGAACGGCAGCAGAGACTGTACTTACTGCTATGGTAACCACCGTACGGTCAGCAAACGCAGTCATGACCACCTTCTGGAGTATGTTCTCCTGTGTAAAGAGAAACACTTGTTGCTTTTCACACAACAGAAGTTACATGGTAGACACGCAGACACTGAGAAGGCTTAAGTAAGCACTGATTATTTCGTGCTTTTATTGATGCTTCTTTGCAGAAATGAAAAATCAACAATGTGTCAGAACCAAATCAGAGCTGGGTCTCCAGTCAGCCAGCCCTGCTCGCTCCTGCCACTGCCTCTGGGCTTCAGTGCACGTGTGCCCTGGCTGCCAAACCCCTGCTATCCTGACCCCGGTTTCACAGGGAGGGAATCAAAGGTGAATTCAGGGTGCTGCCAGGCTGCCCGCATGCTGGCGCCTCTGCAGTGTGTTCTTCACCCTGCTGGAAGCTCAGGAATATCCCAGCACACCGGGGACGTCTCACACCAAGGGGTAGCAGGGATAAGCAAGGAGTGTGCTGTACCTGGCATATTTAGCAGTGGAGATGATACTGAAGGTGGTCTTGACATACATAGCTCTCACTCAACAAGTACTCATCCTTTGCCACTTCAGAAGTATGCTGTTGTGTACCAAACTGCCCAGAGCTGTCGCTAGCACACATACCATTATTTGCTCTTATCTGTTCTTTAGATACGTATCTTCAGGGAGGAACTATATCCTCAACGCATCCAAGTTCAAAATGCCTTTTAACTGAGCTGCATACAGTAATTCCCAACCTTACTGACAGCCAACACCCTAACATTTTACAGAACTAAAAATTGTAGCTCTTATAATAAACCCCTCCAATTACATTCTTTACTCACAGAATAATCATAAAGAAGACTGAAACACTTCTCATAACATTACAGAGGAAAAAAATCCTATAAATATACTGTTCTGTTTGGCTAAAATCCAGTCAGCCTACTATTACTGTGTGGTTTAACCTCTGTCTGGCAATTTCAGGCGATTAATGCAATAATCCATTATGTCTTTTCTATGTCTGTTTATTAACTTGACTCTACTTGCAAGCCTTCTAACGTCCTGACTTGTCTTCTCCACCAAGCTGGGGAGATTTTTCTGCTTGCCAATTTACCCTTCGCTGACCATCCCAGCTGACCTTCCAAAGCTGTAAGAAATCAAACTGCCAATGAAAATAAAATGCTGCTTTTTGCTAATACAAGCAATCTTGGAGTAACTATTAAACCCTTAGTAGAATGGTTTAAAAGCTCTTTAGATTAACTAGCAATGACTCACCACTACCTGGACTTGTAAACTCCTCTGCACTAAATAGGGTGTAAGCATATTAGAGAGTAGACAGAATTGGTTTCTACCTTTTTCTTCACATGTCAGCAGTTGTCTCCCCCTGAAGTAAAACAAGAAATCAGAAACACTCCAAACTCACCGTTGCCATGTCAATAGATGCTGTGGCTTCATCCATGATGAAGATGCTCGTCTTCCGCACAAAAGCCCTTGCTAGGCAGAACAGCTGTCTTTGGCCCTGGCTAAAGTTTTCACCTCCTTCTGTGACTATGGCATCTGTAAAGGATACAGGAAAAAAGGATACTTATGGGGTGTGCATGCATGTGTGTGTATGAGAGTGTCAGAGCAGAGCGTGTGCTTGGAAAACAACGTCTCACTTTCAGCATAAACATTTCCAAAGTGATAGTTTGTAGGTCTCCAGCTGCTGATGACCCAGTTTTGCATGTTTATTTCCATTGTTAAAAAACACCAGTACTTCTGTCTTACTATATTCCTTATATCTATTAGGCATCAAAGTTGCTGAAGATGTTTTAAGACTGAGTTTCTCTGGAACATGTGCAGTTGAGGACACTGCATCCTCCTGTCAAAGTGGCATCTATCCTTTTTTTACCCTAATGGTTTTGTTTGGTTGTTTTTCATGTCCAAACGATTCAGATCTTAAGGCTTTTGAAATCTTCCTCCCTGGCTAAGACTACCAGAAAATACAAAAGAACATATAGATAACACCTGTCTTGTTGACACCTCATCTGACACCAAAAGACCCGTAAACCACAATGCTTCATAATGAAGACATACTGAAATAACAGAATTTTACCACTGCTTTGATAGAAACAGGATTCTGCGGCGCAGGAGCAGTTGGTAAGGGAGTTAGATGTTTATATGACCTTTGCTTGCAGGCCAGCAATTTTTCTCACCTTCCATAAACCTAAAAAGCTTTTTTGTCAGCAACTACCTTTTTAATAGATAGTAGATGTGAAACAGGAATGTTGTGAACACTGGAAGCGGTCTTCTCAAGAAGGAAATCTTATTACCTAGGCCCCCAGGCAGTGCTTTCACCACATGCTTGAGCTGTGCTATTTCCAGTGCTTCCCACAGCATGCTGTCAGTGCACTTCTTCTCAGGGTCCAAGTTAAACCTACAGTTATGTGCAATTCAAGAATATCAGTCAATATAAACTTCTGCAAGGCATGTCTTCTTTTAGTGTGCTTAGAAACAAACCTGCAATAATCAGAATCATGTGCTAAAGATCTGGGCCTGATCTGAGCTGTCATTGGTATAAAGCCACTGAATTTTGCAGACTTAGTCAACACTTATACCAGTGTGATTAAGAATAATATTTTACTCAGTTGAGCAGGACAGGAAAAGCTTCCTGTTTTGAAGATATCTGTGTGGTTTTAGAGTTTCTTTCATTCTGAATGAAGAAATTCTCATGTTTTACTAGAAAAAGGTCTGAAGGAAAAAAAAAGCTGTGAATGTAATCAGTTTAAATTAACATTTACTTTTTAACAAAAGGCCAAAATTCCACCATCTCTCCTTTTAAATCCAGTGTCTCTATTCTTTAATGCTATAGAAACGCTAAACAGAACAATCAAGCTTCATACTGAATTATGAAATGCAAGTCTTCACTACAACTGAACAAATTTCAGACTTAGGAACAGATGAAGGTTATTTTAGCTTTCTGGAGGCCAGAAATGATAGCAACAAATGTGAATCTCATGTCGTATTAATACATAGAATGATAATCAGAAATAAAAGAATCGGTGGTGTATATTTTTATTTTTACTTTTCATCCCTACAGTATGAGCTGTGAATGACCCTAGCTGGCCTAAATAAATACGTAATGGGTTAATTAATAAAGGGTATAGAGTCACCTCATCTCTGACATGAATGAATCATGCTCTATTCATGCAAGTTCAGGAGGTAATCTTGGGATCTGTATTAGTGTGGAGACAGCAAAGCCCAGATGCCAGTATCAGTTTCAGTGAACTCTAATGACTTTTATGTAAAAACTGTGATGTAACTCTGCACTGAGGATTGTACCGTTCCTTTCTAAGGTAAAAGCCATAGGCCTAGGGAATTACACTGCAGCTTTCTGACACTGCTTCTACTGCATCATCTGCTCAAAGGAGGAGGAAGAGGGGAAAAAAAAAAAGGAAGGTGTTTGATCTCCTAGCTGAAAGAACAGCTCAAAGACTAGAAGAGCAACACAGATAGAGGCTCCAGGATAAAATATTCCAGACCTCCCTACAGTACTTTTCATATTCTCCTACTGCTTCCTCTTTTTCTACATTATTTTTTTTAGCCTGTATTTTTTCCATCTCATTTTTTACAGCAGACAAATGAAAAGAGAGGTAGATGAAGTCTCAGGAAGTGCTGGGTGGTTATGGGTGTTTGATCAGTGAGCTAAGCTGATTACTCAGTCCTGAAGGAACAGTGACTTTCCCTCCACCAGACATGGGTTGCCTTCTGCCGACAGCATGGTGACCAGGCTCAGGCAGTGGGAAGGTGCAGTCGGGTGGGTAAAAAGCAGAGACAGAAGGCAGTGATCCTCCCTACTCCACCTGAGGAGACTGCAACTGAGCAGTTTGCTATCAACGGTTCTGTAAAAGTCATTATACAGTACAATGATAATGTCATGACATAAGTGTCATCATATGGTTTTATTGCAGGTGCTCAATGCTTACCGGATTGTTCCGCTGAACAAAATAGGATCTTGGAGAATGATTGACAGTCTGGATCTCAACGTCTGTAAGGGGAGCTTAGCAATATCTATACCATCAATGATAATCCTTCCTATTCAAAAGACAATGGATAGTCTGCTGGACTGCTTATCATACCACACAGCTGCTGGCAAAGCCATGGCTCAGCTTGCAGTACAGTACAGCTGGAACACACCTTGCATTGCATATCCTCTTATTCACTAACAAAACAAGCTTCGGTTAAGCAGCGAGCACAATTCTCTTAGGTCTAAGCCTCAGCTGGGAAGACTGAGAAGTATACCTGTAATATCTTATGAATGATTAGACACACGACTTATCTGCTTGATCATTACAAACATCTATCAAAGAACAAGGTAAGAAGTTAATTCAACTAGTTACTGGGGGAAACAAGCATTTCAGAAAGGCAAACTACTACTGAGCACTTTGAAATTTTATCTCCAAGTAGAACTGTCTGGCTCTGCATAAAGGCTGTGTGAGCAACGTGGCTGGGAAACTGAGGCTAAAATTGAGATGCACAGGAAGACACCCTGTGAGGGACATGGACATGGCATACATAGCAGGAAGTACGGCAGGAATTCCAGGGCAGCAGGCCAAACTGCAATCTGCAGTTGCTGAGTTCTATGTGGCCAGTAGGTCCTACCTGTGCCTTGTGCATGGATCCTTCACTGTATTTGAACACCTTCCTTTTCTATGCTTCGCTCCTTCTGCTGTGATTTCACTGCACAAAAAGCCATCCCCTGTCATTCTTGGACTTTTGCATGTGTCAAATAGAATTTTTATTGATCCAGCTTATTGATGGCACAGCTGTTAGATGACACATGGTATTGTATTTAAACAAGGCCAGACAGTGTCTTGCAGATTCAAAAATCAAACTTCAAAGCTGCTGCTGCTAAGGAAAGGGCTAAAAAAGCACCTTCAGGAGCTAAGCTTGACTGTGCTTATGTAAAAGTGCAATCTTACCCTCAAAGGTGTCAACCATTCTGAAAAATGCAAGAGAGAAGGAGGATTTTCCACTGCCTGTTCGGCCGCAGATCCCAATCTGTGACAGGGAAAACAGATGAACACCAGGTGAGCAGAAATGGATAATGTCTGTACTTGACACTTAAGATGTGTGGATGGAGGAGCTGTTCTGATCCACATGATCCCAGTGTCCTGACGGTTCAGTGAAACTGAACTGACCATAAGAGAGTTTTTAAGTTCACTCTTTGTCTTTAGGTGTCTGAACATTTAGGCATAAGTCAAGGCCAGACCTATATACAGGACCAACAGAAGAGTGACACAGAGGAGCAGAAAGACGGCTGGCCAGTGCTGCAGGCAAAACTTAGGATCCTGAAGTGGCCTTATTTAGCAGAAAGGACACAGGCAAACAGGACAAAGGAGGAGAAAAACAACAGAGAGAAAATACACAATGAAGCAGAAGAACAACTATGGGAATAAAGTCAAGAGAGCCACGTGGGAATGATGGAAAGTAGGTCTAACAAAGTAAAGTGTAACTCACTTCTTTTGGCACTATATGCTGACAGCATGGCACTGGGATACTAAGGAGTGGTGTGTAGTTCTAACTTCTCACCAGTGTGTGCCTAACACCAACTAAGAAAACCATAGAGTCCTCTCCAGTGCACTACATTCTCTTATAGGAAGAAGTCTGTAATTCCGTCATCAAAACATGCTGCGGTATGTTTTTTCAACTCTGATATCTACGATGTGGTAGTCTAAAGAGGATCTCAGAATCACTGCAGTTCTTTACCTTTTGTCCTGGAGAGATGTGGGCGTTGACATGCTTTAGCACTGGCTTTAAGTTGCTGTCATATCGGACGCTGAGGTTCTGGATTTGGATCTCCCCTCTGTCTGGCCAGTTCTGGGGAATCTGTGAGGAAGCTGTACCAGAAGCACAGGGGAAAAGAACCAAACAACCAACCCTCTCATAATAAATTAATCAGCTCATTAAGTGATTTACTGCATTTTTAATGGTAATACACTGCAAAATCATTAAAATTTCAGCAAGCTCTTTCTGCATGCTGCACAAAACTGCACTTACAAAGGAGCCCTTCGTAATTTTCAGCTTCTGTTTTGAGAAGGCCATTGATTCTTTTCACCGCACCCAGCTGGATCTCCATGTCAGCCAGGTTACGAACCATCCAATTCAGATAGTTAGACACCTGATGTAAAGCAAATAGACTACTAAAAATCTGGAATGTAGTAGTTTGCATCATTTGACCAGCATGCAGTTTATATTCCTCTGCAGTAACACTAGTTCAAGCCTGAAGTTCAACTGAAGTTGTGAATGAACTGTACGGTACACATCAACAGGGCGGCAAGAATGACTAAAGGTTAAATTCCCTAACTGCAGTGCACAGACACTTTGGTACTATGGAGATCTGGTCTACACCAACAGGGAAGAGGGAGGGGAACAGTAAAGACAGGTGAAAAGACAACATCTTGGTATAACTTAAAGTTTGACAGTCCAGAACGATGTACTGGGGCAATTACAGTTGATTCACTGAAGAAATATTCTTCACAATGGAAGACAATATAAAAAATTATGATGCAACTTGGTCATGTTTTGTTGACATATTTGAACTAACGTTTCAATAAATATTTTATCTAAAAACTGAAGAAAGCATACACTCAAATATGTCAACCACCGAATGTGAACTGAAGTTAACACATGGTTTCAGTGATGTTACAGTACCCACTATAGATGTACAGACACCTTCGATCTTCCTGTTCATCTTTGTGCCCTGAAGAATTACAAAAAAATGTTTGGGAGAGACAAAATGGTCCTGAGATTCTTACCATAAGAGCATAGGTTAGTCCCAAGCCTACAAGTCCTGAAGAGAGTTTATTATACAGGCAACTGGTAATAGAAGTGACAGCTGCTATGAGTACCACACATGCTCCAATGTACTCCTGAAGGAATATGAATAAGCTCCATCAGTCTAAAAATGATTAAAACTTTCTCATAATTGTGCATACCAAATAACAAAACCACTGCACAGTTTGAAATACAAGCAGAGAACACCACGCAACTCCACACAGACCCTCCCTAAGAACATGTTCTCATTGCCTTTAGCATGGCTGCGCTGTTAGGAAACACTGCTGTAGGCTGAAGGAGTCGTACCAACGCTCCTAATCTTCTGGAGAAGTCAACACAGGTATCTTCAGCATGTAACGGAGGTGGCTGAAACCGTGCAGCTGATGTTACCTGAGACAGGAGGGAAGTGCTCACTGATCCCCTCTGTGGCTGATGAGGGACTGCTGGGAGGCACTGCAGTTGCTGCTGGGTGGCTACCATCCGTATTTGTTCAGACAAGCTGTTCTTGCACAGCGTGTATCTCTTAGCTGGATTGTGTCTACCCATGACGGGCTTTGCTGCTTTAATTTAAATCATTAGTGATTTGACTTCCCACAGACAAGCGCTTGAGTAAAACTGTGTAACGGACTAGAAAACAAACTCTGTAGGAGGGGAATCGTCACTCGTCTATGTTTGTACTGTATAGTGATATAGACACTGGTCAGAATTAGGGACTTCAGGTGGTCTAGGACTGAACATACAAAAGGGTAGTAACATTTTATTTCAGTCCTACTCGATATCTGAATTTAAGCAGCAAAAGGTACCAGCTAAAACGGAGTCCAAAATGAGGGTATAGAGTGGAGACATGAAGTATGAGTTAACATACACTTAGCACATAAAAAAGGAGCCCATGTTCTCGTAACAGCAGTACTAACCTGTATCTAACAGAGTCTGATACAAATATCACCATCCACAACATAAAATTCCATGATTTGCTTCTTAGGGAATTATTTTTAATAATTTCTCATGCCAGGCCACTTCACTGAGCACTCTAAAGAAATAGATACCTGAATATTTTTGTCATTCTTTAAATGACCCCAAACCAGGCACAAACCTGCCTACATCCCTCTGCTCATTAAGAGAGCTTCCAAGTTGTTGAAATATTCCTGGGGAGCCACAAGGCACAGGCCTGCTGACACTGACTAACACAGTCCCATAAAGGCATCCTGGCTGGCGGCACAGCTCGACCAGCTCTGATCACTCTTGACACACAGAGGAGCCAACGTGACATACAAAACTATTCTTGTCTTGGAGAAACAGCTGCAAGCTGGGGGCAAAAGTTGTACTCCATTCAGTTTCCAGGATGGGTTGGGCACATGCTCGTTACAGACAGAGAGATAGAGATATAAAGGGTAAAGGTATGGCTTCGAAACCCAGATGAGGCTGGATAACCGTTGGATGCCTCATCAGATTGCTTGGAATGAAGTCAAATAAACTCATTGTGTATACCCAAAAATAAGGTACTTGCCATGCGGACTTCCAGCCAGCGATTGGCAGCTGTAAGGAAAAGGGAAGCGATGTTGTTGGAATCCGTGTATTCAAGAAGTTTTTGTCGAAATTTGGCTTCATATCTAAAAAAAGAAAAAACAGGTAAAGAAAGGAAAAAGAAGAAGGGAAAAGAAGAAGGGAAAAGAAGAAGGGAAAAGAAGAAGGGAAAAGAAGAAGGGAAAAGAAGAAGGGAAAAGAAGAAGGGAAAAGAAGAAGGGAAAACAAGAAGGGAAAAGAGAAAAAGAAAGAAGAGTCAGACCTCGGAGTCTTGGAAAAATGAAAAGTAGAACTTAATTTCTGGGGATATCAGAGGGTGTAAATCAGCCTGTCAATAGTTCAGAGTTACATCATCCACGGACTTGCATTAGACACATACAAACTGTATTTGTACAGTATCTTCACAAGTAAATGGATGTTACTGCTTTGCTGAAACTCTATACAGGACTTCCGGATCACACTGGGCATTTTCTAAATGTGTTTTATTACATGGTAATTGTGAGAGATAAATCTGAAACTAAATAAAAATTTAATACATATGAGAGAGAAATGATGCACGCATGTACTTGTGAAAAGAAGTATTAATGCTGGAGAACATAGTTCCTCTTCTCACTTAAAGATAAGCTCAAATTTAAAAATTTATAATACTGTAGTGCCTAGAAATTGTTACAGTTTATGACATATAAACTCAAAGTACCTCCAGTCATAGCAGCTCTAGTGTTAGACAAACATGCTTGTCCTTATCACTAAACAAATGGAGCACTTCGGAAAGCAGAAGTCCAAGCACATGGTGCAACAAAAAGTAATAGACTGGAAAGAACTCTGCTCCCCACCCCCAAATGAACATAAAACAAGATTAATGGCAAATGGGTCTGTTTCCAGTTTATTGTAGTGGATCTGCACCCACTCATCAGGATAGCTGCATCAATGAATTCTGCCTTGAATTCATCTGCCTCCCATTCATCCACAAGACGATTCCTTGCTACACCTATTTAGATTAGGGTCTTGGCAAGCATGAAAGTCAGCCAGCCACCCCTTCTGGCTGGGGATATTTATATGCATAATTATATGTTAAAGTGATGTTAATAATGAAGTGTTACTACCCTGAAAAAGGCTTTTGTTGATATGGAAGCTTGAAGGGCTGAAGCTCTTATTTAAGTACCCAAAGCTTGCCCTTTTTTCCCCTTTTATTACATTAGCAAGTTTGTTAAACTCGCCCCCTGTAAAACTGTACCTTATTTATATCCTTTAGCTATTATGGCTGCAACAAGCACTACTTATTTATAAACTCACTCCCCTTATATTGATGGGAGAGAAAGATATGACAATCTTTTGTTTAAGTATGACGTACATCAAATTTGTTCATTGCAGAGTATCTTAATCCTTCTTCTGAGTACACTGTAATAAAGTTGTAACTTTACATAAGTCATTTATGCTTTTGAGGAAAAGAAGTAAGTGTCACTTTGTGGAAATAATTTAGCTGTTCACAAGGGAGCCATGTGCCAAGCCCTGAGCCATGGCTGCTGGGTGCGGTGGAGAACGGCCTGGGCTGGGTCCAAGCGTGTTGGTGCGTTTGCATCGCCTGGAGTGGCTGTTCCTGAGAGCAAGCATTAGCGTCACGTGGTGTCAGAGCTAGCAAGCCCTGCCTTTCCTCAGGACTAATCACCCTCAGCACCCTACCACTGAGAGACGGCAGTACCTCCTCTTGCACCAATTCAGTCCCATTTAACTCTGATATCTCTGCGCCGTGAGGTGTTAGGTGATGCAGATATGCCTTAGAGGAGGTGAGCGTGCCTCACCAGCCAGCCATGCATATGCACATCCCATTCAGGACGCAGACCGTTGGAGTACTGCAGAAATAGCAGTATTCCTCTTCAGAAAATGTCCCCAGCTTGCCAGGCCTCTAAGAATACTGATCAGTCTTCGGAGAAGCCTTCGCATTTACATTTCATTGATTATTTACCACCAACACTATCTGAAGTGCCAGATAAGCAAACTATAAATCAGGCCAGGGCGTCTGCTGAAGGTGTATTTATAGCTGCAAGAGTAGCCGTCTTTCTGATGTCCCCCTGCATTTTTTTGTACATTTCTTCCCTTACACATTCTGAGTAAGTGCAGGACGGCGAGTTACCAAAGGTAAGGACACTCCAGGAACAACTGGCACCTCCTAACTTTATGACTGGGTTGCTGAATTAGTGTTATTTTTAGGGATGCTCAAGCTAGCAAGTCTAAACTCCACTCCTGCTAATATGTGAGGCAGCTGAAAAGCTGCACAGGCCTAAAAATAGCTGGGTTACCAGCTGATGCGGGAGGCTGGCAGGCAGAGGGAATACAGAACTCACTGAACGCACATGGCTCCTCGGGTCAGAGACACATCAGTTACTGCAGGATTTAAGGAAAAGGTGGCACCAAACGTAATTCTTTGTCAGAGGAATTAATTTCAATGTGTCAGGAAGAATCAAGAGGAAATGTTCCAAAAGACTGAAAATATTAGCTAGATGGCATTGAATATTATTTATTGTATCAACACCTGAAAATATATAGCCCTAATACTCTGAAGATCCTCTTGATGAAGTAGAACAACATATGGATAAATAATAAAAACAACAATTAAAAAGAGAAATCTCCTTAAATTTCATTTTATTTAATTTCCTTAAAACTGAACACAGATACAGCTACAAACTAGAGAACACTGTTGGCACTTCACGAATTAAATATCCAATAACAGTACCTAAGAATGGAAAATACAATGCTGTTCTACCCCACTCCAGGAATCTTCAGTCAAAAAGAAACAAACTCTTGAGCTATTTATATCCTAATTAGAATAGTTTAAGAATAGTTAACTTTGTGCATTACTTCTATTATAAAATTGAAATTATAGGTTGGGAAATGGCACGACCATTTCAAAGATAGAATGGTAACAGTGATAATTAACTGACAAAACGTGGATGTCCAGATGAGATGGATGTGGAAAACAGTTGACCGCACTGGAGTCAACTGGGAATAGACAGGAATAGCACCAGCGTAGGGAAAGCAGCAGGTAAGCTCAGCCGCTGTTTTGTTGGTACCTCTACTGGTATCAGTGTGAGTGCCACTTCGTGACAGGGATACACAGCCCAGGCACGTAATCAGCTAACTCCTGGGCTGCTCTCCTGTGAGCTTTTGGGGACGGAAAAATGAATCAAAACAGGCAACGCAAGACTTCGTCTCCAGCTTGTGTATTTTCAAAATCAGTATAAACAACCACATTTTCAGCTAGCAACCTGGAAAACAATTTAGGGTGCTGTTGTATCCTTTGAAGTCACTGACACGCACAATTTATCTTACCAGGACATCGACTCATACACAAATTACTCTGGCACTACAAGTTCGTGCATATTAGCTGTTGCATGGAAACAGTCCAAGCGCCCAGTCTGCCACACCGCGTGCTGTGGTAACTGCAAGCTAATTTAGCTTCTTAAATCACATTTGCCCACAACTTTTTTTCAGGCTGCATGCAAGTGTATGAATGGTTACAACACGGCAGCTGACACACATTAGCTTGTTTTTCTACAGTAACTCCTTCACATGCAAAATGTCTTGTTTTTCGACAGTAACTCCTTCACATGCAAAATGCCTCAAGTCCTTCAATGTTTTGGAGTTCTCCCTTACCAGCGTTTTGGGGATTGTGGATTTTCCAGGTGATCCAAATAACAATTACTTATAATTGCACAATTGCAGAACAGAATCAGAGACAGATATTCAAGAGCAAGGTAATGCATGTTTCTTAAAAAACTATACCTGAAGGCTCGGATGGTGGTAAGACCTTCAACAGTCTCTGAAAAATGGGAGAGTAACGGTAGCTGAGTGCTGTCATCCAGCTGCTGCAAGTCCCTGGAGAGGGTTAGGAAAAGAACTTCGTAAGAAGCCAGTTTTGTTGTGCAGTTCTTCTCTTGAAACAGGCCCAGGGAGTGAAAGGGAATATCTCATCACTATAATTATGTATGTAAAGTTCAGATAGATTGCAACGCAGTGCTGCTTGTCTCTGAGCAGGGAACAAAGACCCCAGGAGGGATTCTCTTTTAACATTTGAATAGAACAGTGCTGGAGTTCTTCATTCCTCTTTTCCCTTCAATGCCTTCCCTCAGGTCTCCTATATTCCTGTTTTTATACTCAATTGTTTATTCATTTGAACGCCATTCTGTCTCAACGATGAATAGGATAATGCTAATAAGAGGTTGAGTTAAGCAGAAGGCAAGCCGCACCTTCCCCTCTCCCCACATGACAGCACAACTCTGAACTAACAGTGTAACTCAGGCACCCAGTGAACGAGAGCCTGCACTCAGCATCAGGTTGTGCTTCTCAGTTTCATGTTTAGTCATCAAATCAGTGGAAGCAGATGTGGGGTCAAATTCTATTTAGTCTCTGTTCCTTCCAGGAGGAAGTAGACTGGTTGCAAACTCCCTCTCGATCCAAGCATACATGAAGGAATAAACACTTCTTGAGCATCACCAGGGAGGAAGCTGTATGACCTTAGAAGGAGAAAAATCACAGATATGGCTAGAAGGTTTTCAACTTGTTAAAAACTAAAAGGCACCCAGAACAAGAGAGAATGCTTGGGCATGTTGGATCCTTAATGGGCAGCAGTACCACCATGGTTATACTGCATTCTCCAGCCTCTCCCAGGCTTTACAGATTTCCCCTTCTGCCTGGAGAGGCAGACATCAGTTTTGTTGGATGTGCCCAGCACGCAGCCTTTGGGGAGGACAGAAGCTAGGGGGGTTTTTTATGTCCTGTGGGTCCTAAGAAACTTTGATCACAGACAAAAGTCCCTGCTCATGCCTCCCAGAAGTTCTACTGGAAGAGCTGCAGAGGCAGTTTTGAAACGGCCCATTTTCACTGCAGCACGTTTGGCTCACTTTCAGACAGGGCCATGGCTTCGACAGGACCGAATTTAAACACGATTCGGCAACGCAGTCATGCATTGCAGGAGATGTTTCTATTGCCCGAATGATGCTGGTTTACGTGCTTACCGTGATGCGACTCGGAAGTACTTCTGGATGAAGTAACACATGATTGCGAGGGGAACCAGGGCAATCAGAAACATGGGTGTGACGTATGAGATGACAGCAAGCGCAGATACACACAGCAAAGTGGAACGACTCAAGCACTCCAGGGTGGCCGGAATGTGCTGTATAGATAAAGAAGAATAAGCACACAGAATCTTCCATAACATAAGATTTGAAACCAGTGTTATTTCATTTTCCTTTCTCCCACTTACACAAGGAGAAACATTTTGAGGATTTGAAGCACTAAGCAGGCAGATCTGCTTTTTGAACTGACCGCTGGGTTTGGGAAAGTCTGAGGGATTTCTGTGGGGCTGCTTCAAGTCTGCATTGCAGACCACAATCCTCATGCCAGAGGATTACAGATGGGATTCAATACACTTATTTCAGCATCTGCTTTGGTTCTGTGAATTGGTAGTGCAGTCTGGGGTAAATACTCATAATTTGAATTTCAGTCTATCTTGGGCAACAGCATTCTCCCTTTTCCCATTTTATTTGCTCATAGGTGTCACATGAATGTGTTTGCCCACTTTAAAAAAAAAAAAATAGATGGTCTTGATCTGGGGATCTACTGCTCTGATTTTGCTCCCCTGTTCTATACAGGGCATCTTAATCAAATACATGTTTTCTCAGTACGCATCTGAGATGAGGGATTCTTTAAGAATATAGAAAATCATGATGCAAATTGATATGGTAGTCAAAATTATAGATCATCAATAAACTTCATCTAAATGAGTGTATAATAAATGAAAATCCAGTCTTTCAGATTGGGAAGGATAGGATAAGTTGGGAGCTTGAATATATTTATTCAGGACCTGATCAATGGTATTGCAGTCAGCTGAAAATCTGTTCAATATACTTCCCAGAGGTGTTGTTTCAAAAAACCTAAAATGAGACAAGGAATGGGAAAGATTACAATATTGATGCAAGAACAGTTTTAACTTTTTTCCTTAAGCAAGGTGCCATACCACAGACACAAGCAAAGAGACAACCACAGTAAAGTTTGTCATTCTTCCCTGTAACCATGGCTTTCCAATCAAATGGCAGCCTTGACTGGAACCCAACAACAACAGGAATGTCCTCAGCTCCCTCTACTGCCTAAGGTATGCAAATCACATGATGATATTTTTAAAAATCTCAGATTTGCAATTCGAGGCCCCTTCAATTCACGAAAAATGCAAGGTTAAATTGCAAGTCTTGCATTCTTTTGGGAATAGAAATGCATAACTAAGAACCACCGTATGAATAATACATTAACAGACCTTTCCTTTACATTTGCATATGCAAAATGCAAACTTCATTATTGGTCTGTAATTGTTAGTTGTTCCACAACTCATGTTGAACCTGAAGTCTAATTCTATCCTGAAAAAAAGTTTTAAAAAATATATATGAGGTTTTCCATGTATATTATTTCTCCGTGATTTCTGGTTCAAATATAGTCAGTTTAAAAATAAGAAGGTATTTTTCCTACTGTTCAGTAACAGCTGGAAGCTTGAATCAAGCTACAACTTTCCTTTCATGCTATAGAAATAAAACTTACGCAGGACAACAAAGGCCTTTACTGGTATCTGTGCACCCCAGCGTCATCTAACGATGCCTGTGATGACACTTGTCTGAGCTCATTATCTTTCATTGCTTGCACATTGCTACCTGACAATATTTCCAGTGATTAAGATTATGATGGACACTACGAACGAACTGTACAACATATTGATCAATAATTGGGCTTTCTCCCTAATTAAAAACAGCAAGAGAAATTAAACATGCAAGGAATTAAACCTCTAAAGTCGCATTGAGGCAGGAGAGGCATTTGACTCATGTCTAGGAGCTCGAGCAGCCTGGTTGTGTTTTCAAAAATTGCTCAGGAGCTCAAAACCTGGTGATTTGCAATGACACATTAAAAAAAAAAAAAAAGTGATTCACAGTCACTTCTTAACAAAAACTGTGCTTAGAAGACTGCCTAGAAGTAAAGAACACACAAAGACTACAATACAATTTGTAATACAATCAGAGGAATACCTCATTGGAGCCAAAATAATTTTATTCAGTAGAGAAGAGTGTAGCTTTTTGGTGACTTTCAAACCAGTCCACTCCACTGCTATTGATGTGACGAGACATAATACAATCCCGAGACAGCAGAGAATGCTGAAAACCTTTGAATATGGAGAATGGTTGAAATCCTAAAAACCAAGAAGAGTAACAAAATCATTCACTTTAAATTATGCTTAAAAATTATTGTAAAAACACAAAAACAAGATGAAAAATGTAAAGAGTAAATTCTTTTTCCTCCTTAAATTAAACTGCCAATGATTTACAACCATCTTTAACATCTATTTATTATCCTTTGCAGAGAGGAGTGTTTGCATGAAAGTAAGAGGTTAATCAGAAATCTGAATCATAAAACAGTACAAAAAAAACCTGAAAAGAGATATTTTGTAATTTCAACTGAAGGAAAAAAACATCTTCAAGGCATTATTATGGCTTTGTTGGTTTTGGTCTATTTTTTTTTAATAAAAACAATATACATTTTTATTTCAAAATACTAATTTCATATTAAAACCCAGCATCAATAAAGTATCTTTTAGAGATGAAAGTGTTACTCCAGTGAAATGACACATGCACCTCCCAAACATTAATCTGGATTATTTGTAGGCACTAAACCCCAATAAAGAAAACAGCCCCATTTCTAATAAAATCCCTCCAGTACTGCTTTACACATCCAGAGTACCCTGCTAGGTAACACTGTCCTCAGCTCCATCTGGAATTCACATAAAAATCAACCAAAACAGTGTATACATAAAAAAAGCAAACCAAAAAACCACAAACTAAAACCCAAACCAAATAAAAAAGCCACCAAAATGTGTGTTTACCACATGTTACAAAACCTGAAAGCCCTGCTGAAGTGAGAATGCAGCAGTACAGGAAAAAGAGAAAGGAACTATGAGAGCAAAGTTACTTTGAAGACTGAGGTTTAGGCATATCAGCTAGATGATGAAACTACGATAAGTCTAGTAAAAGGGGAAAATAACTTTGTTTTACTGCGCCGTGTACCCAAAAAAGCATTAACCCTCAAAGTACCCTGGAGTGGCTCTATTACTAGGAGTACAGCACACTGCACACAAATCTTGGAGCAGAGGTTGACAATGGGGGATCCCCCCAGTTAAAGCACAGGAGGCAGGTGAACGAGGCGCTGCATACCTCACAGTGCGAGCAGTTTTTCAGCTCTAGCTCTGTATTCCCAGAAATGGCTTCCGAGGTCCAGCGCGCCAGGCAGTAGTCGATGGCCACCATCACCGTGTGCTTCAGCAGCTGGGACAACACCAGCAGCGGCAGGAGGAGGATTCCTGCCGCGCTGAGGTACTTGCCGCAGGCTCTCCAGGGCATCTTTGCTCTCTGGTGCAGCACTGAAGACAGGTTGTCTTCATCATCGCTTTCTGTTACTTCTTCTGCAACGCACATGAGAAAAGTACAGCCACACTGACTTACTCTACACACCTTTCACAGGGACAAAACAGGTTGTCTTATACAGGACGGAGTGGCTTTAAGTGCTCGGGCACACATGTGTCAGCCTGCTAAAGTTAGTAGTAATGCATGCTAAAAAGATGCAAAAAACCTTAGCACTGTGTCTCCAGCATGTTTCTGCAATTTGTAAGCACTGGCTTCACAAAAGTTCATTGCAATTTTGTCCTAGGTAAAACCTTAAAACAAGTGTGCTTAGCTATTGACAGGTTTGAAGCTCCCCCCCGCAGAAATTATTCAGTATTATTCCTTTCTCATTACCAAATCACGTTCAAGTATAAGAAAAAAAAAAAAGTCAAAATTTTGGAGGAAGCTGTGACTTCTGAATGCTTCAAGTCACTGTAGTCCAGAGGTAACAGTCAAATAGAAATAGCATTCTTACGAATCCCAACCCACATGAAAATTTATTAGCTTTAATTATTTTAATTCATTCTAAAATGAATTTAATTTAACTGTGAAATAGTAACGTAGTGGTACTGGGCTCAAAGAGTAGCCTTTTACCTTCATCCTCTTCATCATCCGTCAGCAGAGCTTCACGGGAATACATAGTCCTCCGGAGATTTGTTCTTTCCAAAACTGTTTTTCTTTCAATAATAGTCTCCTAAAAAAGGGACAGTTCGTGTGTTTTCAACCAGAGAATTAATAAAAAAAAGTTACTAACCGTGTCAAAACTCATTTCCAATCAGAATATCAGAGAAAGATAACAGTGAGAATCTTACAGAAGACAGTCATAAGTGATTCATCTGCCACCACTGTGTAAAACCAAAGGACATAAATTAGGTACCTGACATTAATTTCTGGTTGTCAATCCCAACCCTCCTGGAATCTGAACAGGGACAGATATCCCTGAATTAAAAAGAACCAAGTCTAATACGTCATTCTTCCTGTGTTGTAGTATTAAAGACAAAATGTGTTAATGATTTAGAAAGCTGAATATAGGCATATCTGAAAAACTTCTACCCAATGGAATGAGTAAATTCAGGCATATTTATAGAAGCAGTTGTCAGCGTTGCACATTACCAATGCTTTTCCTCTAAAATAGCCCAATTTAATATTCCTTAAACAAGAACATTTTGATAGGTCTTCACTAAGAAGAATGGGTGAGGGGTAACAGTGCCAAGGAGGTGTGAGATGTCCAGATGAAGGAACTTAATAAATAAATAATAATGGTAACAGTAATAGCACATTCATACTAAGTTAGAAATCACACACAGCACATCAATCCTTGCTAATGCTTTCAACCTCAGAAAAAAACCCACTTGTCCCATTTTTTGCAAATGTCAATTGCCCTGCCCATCAACACCTTCTCCAGCTCTTGGTCTTGTCGATTCATTAACGTCTTCCAGTGTTCAAAGAGCTCAGTCTCCGATTTCTGAATGTCCTTGAGTGTTCCTTCTCTCTGGATGTTACCATCTTTCATCGCAATTATCTACAAAGTTAGAAACACAAGCGGTGAGATAAATAGCCCTGTACCTCTATTTATTTTAAACCTATGATGCTGTGTCTGGACAGAATTTTCACTTCTCTTATATAAAGAATATTTCTGTGAACAAATCTGTCTTTTAAAAACACAACTGAAGTTCTTTCTCAACTCTATGCCCTTTACTCAAGATGCTGCAAAACCAGAAACTTCCTGCACTGCATGCTTTCAGAAAGGAAGGCTGCTTTTAAGTAGGAAAGATGAAGAATGGGGTCCCCATCAGCAAACAGGAGAGTGCATTACTCTTCCTAAATACAAGTCATTATCAAGATAAGATTTGAGAGTCCTTTTACCTCCTAAAAGGAAAAGGCTTTCAGCAACACACTGTACACAGCATGTTTTGCCCTCACTCAGGCAATTAGATATGAGCATGATGGCTCCACCGCCTGTCTGGTATCATGGACCTGATAAGGAAAAGCTAGGGAATTTGAATCCCTAAAGCTTGTAAAACCATAAATAGTGGACACAGTGTGGAAAAAAAGGTATATATGCAAGACAAAGTCTGAAGGGCGTGGTTTCCAGGTTTATATCGGTGTAACCGCATTATATACACAGCAGGACTATCCTCCCTTTGGATCTGACATGGAGAATTGGAAAATGAGGCGTGTGGACTGTAAACCCACATGACATCATTAGAAAATAGCTAATGCAGTATTTATTTTTCTCTCTCCCCAGAAACTCAGAAATTTCCAGGGCAGGGAGTGGGGGGGGTGTGTGTGTATGTGGGTGGGTGGGAGGGA